ACGATTGAATTTTTTGTTTTTTTTGTAATCCATGATCGAATTTTATGTAATCCATGATCGAATTTTATGTAATCCATGATCGAATTTTTTATAATCCATGATTGAATTTTTTGAAAATTTGTGATTTTTTTTTTTAATCCATGATCGAATTTTTTTTTGTAATCCATGATAGAATTTTTTGAAAATTTGTGATTTATTTTTTTTAATCGATGATTGAATTTTTTTTTGTAATCCATGATAGAATTTTTTGAAAATTTGTGATTTTTTTTTTTTAATCCATGATTGATTTTTTTGAAAATTTGTTTTTTTTTTTTAATTCCATATTATTCAAAGAGAAACTGAGAGAGATGGTGATTCTGAGGCCACCCTATCTCAGCCATATTATTCACATATCGAGTCCTAACAGCAACAATGTAGGGATGAGCACGACAGTGCAGGTGAGCATGAAGGATGGACAATCTTCGAGGATTTTAGATTGGGAACACAACAAAACACTAACACTCAGGGATTTGGGAATAGTTAGACGCCTGCTAATATCGATGATTCGTTTTTAGATCGAATCAATGAATTGTTAAACGAATTCAATCAATGGCACCAGCGTGACCAAGAAGAACAATAACGTCGTCTATCATTTTATTTTTAGATCATATGTTACTAATTTTATGCTTTATTGTAGTCCATGTATGTTGATATACATATTCCATGATAATTATATGTTTATCCTTTTGTGTGATGTAAATTAAATGCTGAATGGCGGTTCATGCAGGGAAAGAACATATCAATATTCGCATAGAACATATCAATATTCGCATATTCATTCAAAAACATGAAAATTCTTAATGGAGTACCCTCATTTTTTATTGAATTCTTAAAAAACAATATTTATAATGAATTTTAATAATTTTTTTGGATTTTTTTTAAGCTTTATTATGACCGATTCACTCGATTCCCGATCCGGATCGCCGATTCACCGATTCAGATTGATTTTTTAAAAACCCGATCCGAATCACCGATCCGTTTTTTAAACCATTGGTTTTTCTACTTGGTTTTGGTTATCTGGGAGGGAGGCAATGCATTTCTCTAGAGAGAGATTATGGTTGTTTCCAGTTGGATTCTAGTGAATGTGATAGAGAGAGATAGGTCTCCAGGTGCATTTGTGGAATATATGTCATCAGTTGGGCTTGTGCATATGAGAGAGAGAGAGAGTGTGGTTGAACAACTTGTGCATATGAGAGAGAGAGAGAGTGTGGTTGAACCATGAATTGTTGTAGAGTATTGAATCAAATGCCATCTTTCTCTCTGATCATTCATAGAGAAATTTTTTCGTGAAATAAAATTTGGAAGGCGTGATCACATAATAGCATTTTCAAGTAAATTTCCTGTTCCTCTTTGCCCTCTCTCTCTCTCTCATCATTCAACTGATGATGAATGGTTTCCTTTGTGACTTTTTTTGCAAAATTTCACATAAATACATGTTGTTTTTGATGTATATGTGCCTGAACTTTTTTCCTTGAGATTAGTTTTGGGTCTACTTTGATGTAGATCATTGACATTTCTGTTGGGTTTTTTCATTACTTAAGAATGCTTTTGTTAATTTTTGGGGGGAAGAAAACTTGTTCGTAGCTTAATACAATTTTGTTGTTTGTTGTCACAAGTTGATTGGACTCTGATATTTAATTTGTTCCTACATCTTTCATAATGCTTTGCTCTATTTCTAGGGAATATCTATATTTTTTATGTGTTTCTACAAATGCCATAATGTTGTACTCTGTTTTTTAGGAAACATCGATCTTATTGATGTGTTTCTACAACTACGATAATGCTTTATTCTGTTATAGGGAACATCTATCCTTTTTGATGTGGTCATGGATCATGGTGTACCGATTTTTATTTCGGTGACTTTCCACATGCAACTGACTTTCCATATCTTGGTTGATTTTTATTATGCGGTGGTTATGGCTTACCAAAGAGATGCATGGTAGTATATTCTCCTGCTTTTTTCTTTTAATGGTAAAGAGAAGCATATTGATTTTTTATTCTATTTTGGTGGTGGTTGTACCCTCGGAATAAAATTGGCAAAGATATGAGTACTGATTTTTTTCTTTTTGGTGGTGGTTAGGCCCTTCGAATTTTCGATTTTGTTGTAGAACTCTTCTAAAGCTGCATCAAATGTTTTCATCTTCATATATTGTCTTCAATTGAATTTGTTTAATAAATTTGGTGTGACTTGGTTCGTTGAGCACATTTTTCAAGATTCACATACAAGACTTGACACTGGTTCTAAGTTGATTGTCCATGTTAGGTTTTTTGAATCACATTGTTCTACTACAACTGCAGTTGCAATAGAAAGCGAGTAGCTACTTCATGATCACTTCATAATAAGGTGATCATTGCAATTGTTCTTTTTCTTATGTTCTTGAGGTTTTGTTGATGTATTTGGGAATTGAACGTTCATGAATTCTTGTTCCATGATTGTCCATTGCTGTAATTATGCATTTTACTATGTGAAGAGTTTGGTCTCTAGTAAACCTCCAATTATGCATTTTGATACTCATGACATAGTATTACTGATTTTAATTATACATCAGTCTTATAGAAAAAGAGCTAATGAATGTGACTACTGATTGGGTCTTGAGTAAGTGTCATTTTTTTTTTACTTTCCCCTTATTTTTATGGAACTCATGAATGTGAAGGCCCAATGCATAGCATTACTGATTTTAAAAAGCACTCTCTCAATTAATGTGGTTTGTCTCTACATTTTGCAATCTACTGAAATACAATGTTATAAAATTGAGTATAATTGGAATTGTAGACAACGAAAATTGTCGAGAACTTTGTTGTTTGTTTCATACATGACTATATTCAGCAAAACTGGACCAAGGTTTGCATGCAAATTACTTTATCCTTGTTCGATAATTGCATGACTTGTTTTCTATTTTGGGCATTCTGTTTGTGCCTTTACCAGTGATGTGTTTCATATAATTTGCATCCAGTGGAGCCCATGCCTTCACGGTGTTGCCAAATTATTGTGATGAGGAAAATTGAAATTAAGCTTTTGTTGCATACTTAATCCTATTTTGAAATCTACAGGCTAGCAAAGTTTGTGGGACTAACTTTGTTTTAGACTGATGCTTTATTTATATGTTTCAAGCTATGCAAGAGCTCCACTGAAAAAATCAGCAGGGTGGTGCAAGAGTTAGAGAGAGAGAGAGAGAGGAGGAGAGAGAGAGAGAGAGAGACTAC